GGTCGAGACTGACGCAAAGGCAGTTAACAACAACAACAACAACAACAACAAAATTCAGGCATTACTAATAATTGTGCTCATCTGTGTTGTTTAGCTTAGGTTCCCACCTAAAGTTCCCACCTTCCATGATAAAATTAGTACTTCAGGAGTATAACAAACATCACAAAAATAATATAAGCAAGCAAAGTATTAAAGGCATCACAATAATCAGTATGCATCAAAACAGTTTAAAAGGTCAGAATGAAAAGATGTGTCTCCACACCCTTTCCAAGAGCATCTGAAGTAGGAGTCTAAAGGAAAGAAGACCCGAGGCACACCTCTTTAACGTATGTACCAGGGTTAAGTGGCAGTAGTCTTTGGAAGCTCTCAGTGGCCATCAAACTTTCGTACAAAGATAGCTGGTTTGGGGCTTGCATACAAAGTTCAGGTTTTGCTGGAAGTTGATCTTAAAGAGAAGTGCATCAAGGTGGTCGACATTTGCTTTCACCAAGGCAGGACAGGTAGTAATTTAGCAGAGCAATTTAAAGCTAATTGCTGAGTGGCCTCTTGGCTGGCTAATTGAAGGAGCCAAGAAATTTATACACAACCAGTACTTTTGTCTCATTATGTATGCTAATTGTGACACCAGCATTGTGGCTCAAGTGATCGTAATAAATGTATACAATGCTTCACATCCCAAGGTTTCTAACCTTTCTAAAGATCTGTCTGTCTGATTCCTTTCCCCTCCCTTTAGTTGTATTGCTAGAACATGAGTTTCTGATGTCTTCACCACCGAAAAATTTATGTAGGGTATTTAAAAATAAATATTCACCAGGAAGCTTTATGTTTATGCCCCACTTTTTTGGTGGGGAAAAATTGCTTGGTTTATGTGTCACATATATTTTTATCACTCTTCCCCCCCCCCCTTTATAGTTTTTGGCTCTTTCTTCTCTTTGTTTATCCAGAGCACAATCCCATAGAACAGCTTTAGGAAGAAGTCAGACTGAGAACATGTTGTTATTCAGAGCATGTAATTTCTTTTGAACAATAGTGCCCATAATCCCCAGATACCATGGCCACTAGCTAAGAGATTCTAAGAGCTGTGGTCCAATAAAGTCACTTTCCCAATTTCTGGTTATATTACACAAATATTGTACTTATTGTTGCCCCATTGCACCATGCCATTCTCTTCTGATTACACTAGAATTCGTGAGATCATGCAGGTGTTGGGGAAGATGAGTGTGGTTAATTCCTTTGCTGGTATCTTCCCTTCCTGGGAGTTACTGTAAGTGATGTTTGCAGGGTCACATTTTTTGGTTTTCTCACATCTAATTTGGATGCTTGATGGAGCCCCATTTGATAACACTTTTTAAGAGGTGGTGGAAGAATGCCAGGTTGCAACAGACTGCAGGGATGTGCTATCTGGTTCAATGGAGGCTTCTGCATGATCCCTGTTGGGTCATGGTTTGTGGACTGTGCGCTTCTAGAGTTGATTTGCACAGAGGCCACTGAGTGTCTGCATTTGGAAGACCAAGCTTGAACTCTCCCTGGAAGCCAAGAAACTTTCATATTTTGGGCACATCATGAGAAGGCATGACTATAATGATAGGGATAGTGGAGGGAAGTAGAAAGAGAGGAAGACCTCATACCAGATGAATAGACTCAATGAAAGAGACCATGACCCTGAGCCTTCAGGACCTGAGCAGAGCAATTGAGGACAGAGGGATTTGGAAGTATCTCATTCACAGGGTCATCATGAGTTGAAGTCAAGTCAAAGGTAGTTAACAACAGCAACATTTGGCTGAATATGATTGGAGTGATGTGAGATGGAACCATGGGAGGAGTACTAACTTGGCTGCTCTTGTAACAGAAAGCACACCCAGGAAGTTGCTCTGGTTCTGAATATTGGTGTACATTTACAAACTGTGGCAAATTATCTCTTGTTGGCAGTATGATGCCTTGGCAAAAGGGTCTTCAGGTACTTGTCATGCATTGGTATTTCCCAAGTTGGTGCCATCCACATGTTCTCAGCAACAACTGCCAGCATTCTTGACCAATGGTCATGCTGGGTGGGGCAGATGAAAGTTCAAAACAGTTCAAAACAGCTGGGGCACTGGCTCAGGAAAGGTCGCAATCCATTTTTGAGACAGTATCTTGTCAACTTCGTGTCAAATATTATGGTGATGAAACATTTCTAAATGAAAGCAGTGACAATTTTTTTGGGGGAAAAAAAAGAAGACTCTTAGCATCCCTGGTTGATTTGACAAGAAGTTCACAGTGCAATGGAATTAGCATTGATTAAAAATGATGAGTTGAATGGAGTGAGGCTGTTTATGAAGTGAGAGAATGGGATGCTTCCAGTGCCAAAGCAGAAATGCTTAATGGTATGCTAATGAATGGAGACGGCTGGAGGGTACAGAAAGGGCACAACTGGAGATGATTGCTCACATTATGAGGCGGCAGGTAGGTCATTGGGCATTTCAAGCTACAACCAGGATTTCCATTCAAATAATCGAATAAGTGAAGCACAAATTGTTTTTGCAGCTCTAATGACCTTGCTAATCACAGGCTGAGGTGCAGAAGCCTTTTGGGCTGAGAATTGCAGATTTGTTCAGGGAGATTGGAAGGGTTCCAAGAAAGGCAAAAGGGGGATTGGAAAAACCCAACCCCTCAGATTCAGGGGAATTACAGCTTGTTATGTCCGTGATGGAGAATATCAGAGGGCCCTTGTTAAAAAGCCTGCTGGCAGAGTGTAACAAAGATGACGTTCTGATAATCCTGACACTTGCTCACACACATACAAGCTGCTGCTTCCATCCAAGGAAAGCTTGCCAGTCCCAGTGATTAAAAATAATGACCCTGGTCTTAAAAAAGAAAAGGGAGATTGACGGTTAAAGAAAGGGGAGTCATTGCCTTCACAGGCTTGCTTCTTCTCTTGCAACAACAACAGCAAGCACAGTGAGCTGCTTAGGTGTTTTCCAGGTTCTGAATACTCAGAATGTTACTTTTGTGATGTTAGGTGTTAATGTAGTTTTGAGCTATGCTGGTGATGGTATAATAGCCACCGGTAGGGCTTCCCATGCCAGACAGGTCAAAACCGAATGGGTCTGACAAAGAACATCAAAGAGCAGGATGGGCTCCCTAGCCTTATGTCAACCATCCTAGGAGAAGGAAAACTCTAATTCCAAACCCGGGCAGATTGTGCTCGTCCAACCCTGTAAGGTCAACCATCTAAGAGAAGGAAACTCTAAACAAACCTACGACCTGAGGATCTCGTTGCTACCGTCCATGCTTGCAAGGCCATAGCAGACGAACCTTTGGTTTAAAGGGTGAGGCCAATTCTGTGCACGCTGCGCTCCACCAGAAAAATGCATTGCACAGGCTCAAAGGACAAATCCAATCTCTTAGTTATCAGCGCGCTTGCAAAAAGCGTGGGATGAGTCCTTCCTGAATCTTTGTTTGCGAAGAAAAGCCAGAGAGAGATGTTAGGTGTCATGGTGGAGAAATAGATGATCCCTGCAGGCACCTTATGGTTCCTGACTCTCTACATGTTACTTGGGTTGCTTGTTGGAAGAAGGTGCTGCAGGAAGTTCTAATAGGTACATTGGACTCACTGCTCAGAATCCTTTTCATCTCGGCCATCGTGTAATACCAGAGAGCTAATCCTATGAACCAGTGTGGTGTAGTGTTTTGCGCACTGGACTATGATTCTGGAGACTAGGGTTCGATTCCCCACTTGGCTGTGGAAATCCTTGGGCAAGTCACACTCTTTCAGCCTCTGAGGAAGGCAAAGGCAAACCCCCTTTGAACAAATCTTGCCAAGAAAACCCTGTGACAGGGTCATGTTAGGATTGGCATAAATCAGAAACAACTTGAAGACTAACCACAACAAATTACAACTTAACTGCAAATACCCTAAAGTTTCATTGTTTTTCTTCCATTTTGAATCTCAAATGTGTCTCTGAACATTTCAAACTTCCTTGAGAAGCTTGCCCAGCTTTTTGAAAGCCACTTTCCCCTCCCTCCTTAAACCTGAAGTGGCAGTCAGAGTTGTTAGTTCCCAGAAAGTGAACTTATGCTGTAATTCCCTATATGAGCAAGCTTCAATTTGCTTCAAAATTCATTGCAAGGTTTTACAAGCAGCTCTCTACATCCTTTTACTTAAGAGATGCCTTCAATCCTTTTAAAAGAAAATAAGCTCAATTTCCTGTTCTACTGAGCTTGTGCAAAAGGTAATTTGAACATAGTCTTCCTACACACAACTTTTGGGCATTAGAATTCATTCATTTCCCCCAATTCTTTAAGACACCTTAGTCACATTGGAAAGGAAAATGTAAACTCTATTCTGTATCCTTACCTGGGAACAATTTCCAATAAGTCCAGTGGGCCTTACATCTCAGTAGGCAAGTATCGAAAGGCCAGTTTCTGAACCCATGGATAAGCCAGGATTTCAAATCACATTTGGCAAAGGAAGATCCAGTGCTTCCTCTTCCTTTGGACTGTACTACTCATTTTATTTTAACCTCAACAATTCTGTTAGCATTAATGGCCATTAAGAATTCTCCACTGCCAAAAGGGCAACAATCATAAATAAATCCAGACAGTATAGTCCTCCACATGTCTGCTCAGGGTTTATTTAAAGATAAGTGGGTACAGGATTGTATCTTACAAGGGCTAACCAAATCAAATATCTACTTGGCAATAGCAGACTTATGTACCAACTTCAAGAGAACAAGTTAAAATAGAGAACTGGAATAATAATAAAAAAATCACCACATGCTGCTCTTATGCAACATAAAAGATGTTGGAGGATCTATCTTCAGAGGTCAGCTGTTGTTTCAGTACTTCTATATTCCATTAACTATCTGTGGCACATTGAAATTCTGAAAGTAGTAGAGCTCACAAGTTGAAGTTCTTGGTGTTTTTGATTAGCAAGATCTATGAGAACATCTGCCATTACTACCAACACAATCCCATGCTCCAAGATTATCTATAGTTTCCAAAGAGGTGTGTGTGTTGGGGGGGGGGAATGGACTTTCCCAGGAACACTGTGTCATCATGATTTGTCACAATCTCAAGTATTTTGTGGTGGCTTGGTCTTGAGCTTTATAAAATATGAAAACTGTTGGATTTTTTAAAAAAAATATATAGAGCGATCAACACAGCTACTGCTATCTTTGAGCTTTTCTTGGGGTGTTGCTTTAGAGACTGTCATGATGGGGGCCTGCATTCCAAAATTAAGCACTTTCCCATTGTTTGAAAAGGAAAGAAAGGGAAAGAATTAACTTGCATATGGTTGCAAGAGCTTCCATTGCATGGTCACCCAAAGGTGATTCCTACTCACCACGAGTGAGCAAGCTTGCAGTAGAAATACTGCTCACTACAATATCTTTTCCACGAGGAAGTCTGTAAAAATTGATCTTACCAATGATGCTAACAAACTATTGGTAATATTTTATCAATTGCAATTAGCATCCCCCTGGATTGAGCCAAATAAAACAGAAGAGTCTCTAGCTAGTTAAAGCTCTTGATTTTATTGTAGGATGAGCAATGAAGCACAGCTCAGTGGCAGGAAATGCATACTCCAAGGATTTAAAGGGGATCAACAGAAGTAGGCTAAATTAAATGTTTATCTGGCAGATTCTTGTTTGCTCATACCCATAACACATATTTCTTCTAGTGTTTTCATAGTAATTGGATGACCAGCCCAAGGCATTGGATACTAAATCACAGGGTAGAGGGAAAATCCAGGAGGGCAAAACATGCCAGCGGTCTCTTTACTGTGCCAATGTGCCCCTTCCAGTTGCAAACAAGATCTATGTATGAGTTGGCTATAGCTCAATAGCTATTAACAGCACACTCACTGTATAGAGAATTACTCCTCAGCTGAAGAGAATATGGGAAATCTGATTGTTGGCTTGTGGTTCTGTCTCTGATTGTAGGGGAAAAATTGGATATCCAAGTGCCAGGCATTTGATTCCAAGAGCTAACTTTTCTTTTTAGGATTGGCCCTACCATTAGGAAGAGTAGGATGATCATCTCAGGCAGAAGATGCTGGAGGAATGTTGAAGTACCTAGATTTATGTGCCATGTATGACCTGCCCTATACCATCTACTAACCTTATGTGGAGGGGAATGCTGTTTTGCAGCCAATGTTGAAGTACAATTGAAGTCACAGTCTGACAGTGTTCTATGCATGAAGTTGTCCTTTGCCTCAGGCAGCAAAATGGCTTCAGCTGGGCCTGGATGATGAAACTTTGGAGCAGTAGACTCCCTCCTCCACACACAAGAAGCTGCCAGCCCAGAGTTAATACAGCATATCTAAAAACATTATAAAAAGGTGGTAGCATGGGACTTCTTGTTTTTGTGCGCCCTCAAGTGGTTAAGGGCACATAACAAGGTCACTCAGTTGGGTTTCAAGGCTGAGCAGTGGCAAAGAATTCCTTACCATTTGCTACATTGGTTAATGCTGCTGGGACTTGCAGTCTGGCAATATCCAGAGTGTGGTGTGATGCCCACACATGCATTAAATAATGACTGATGGGCAAAGACAAGCAATTATGTGACAGAAATAAATTTAAAGTGCTGTCGTATTTAATGCAAAGTCTTCTTCAGGTGCATGGATGCCCAGAAAGAAAATCAAAAGGACAACTCACATCTTTCCAAGCCTGTGTTTATCACCAGCTTAAGTAAGCTCAGTAATACATCCCAGTTACAGGAAAAAAATGTCTGGAAAAGCAAGGAGGACAAGATGCCACATTCTATCATTACATAAAGTATCTCTTACAAAGATATGATCCTCTAGCCTCGAGATATCTTTTGTATGTATTATCTTTTATGTTCCAACACTGCAAGGGAACATAATAATTTTAAAATTATTATCTCAGAGCATGTTGACAAAGAGCTGCTTCATGTACTTCAGTCCAGTAGTCTTCAGACCTCATCTCAGGCATGATCCCATCTAATCTTAAAAGCTGAACAAGATCAGCACTGGTTAGTACTTGGATGGGAAACTGCCAACGAATGCCAGGTGCTCTAGGCTATATTTCAGAGGAAGGAATTGGGCAAACCACCTCTGAGTCTTCCTTTTCTAACAATTTGTGTTAGGTTGCTGTCAAATTTCATGGGGTTTCCAATAGTTGACTTGAAGGCACATACACATGTTGAAAATACTCGTAAGAATGAAAGCACTTAAACAGTCAAATGGATATATGCAGAGTTTATAAAGATAACAACTGAAGTTCTAGTTCAGAATGAAAAGGAACAATTCCTAGTCTATGTAATCATGAATCGTGATCATTCCAGTTATAGCAACTGAAGTGTTTAGTGACCTTCAGGATACTGAAAGAAGTTACTTTCCATAGATAATGAACATGCAGAAGACCCTCCACACTTGCTGTCTTATTCTTCCTGTACTGAGAGCCTGTTCAGCATCTGATGTTCTGTATTTATTTTTCCTTGGCAGCTTCTTTGTGATAGCCATTAAATAGTCATAGAGAAGAATCAGGAAAGAGGAATGTGACTAAGGAGTGGGGATTGCCTCCCATCCCTGCTGTGCTGTTCTAGGAAGAAGGAGGTTGTTATTCTCTTCCTCTTCCCATCCTCATGAACTGCTGTAGGAATGGAAAGCAGTCCCAACTACTCAGTTGTCCCCCCCCCATGACTCTTTATTTTTACTTAAACATATATATATATTTATTAAGTATCAACACACATTATTACAAACCTCACCTATCAATATAATTGTACAATAAAATATAATGTCACCCAAAAAGACCAAAAAATACATATCATAAACTAGGAATTATACAAATTGCATTATTTATACATATATTGACTTCCTTCCTAGCAGTTCTTGTTTCTAATAGAAAGTAACTTTCTAATCTCATTGCACATATTAAACATTCAGTTCTAATATTAAACAAATGACTACACTTTCACCTTAATCTTTGATATTTATAACCTTATATTTATATACTTGCCTATAACAATTATTCAAATTCCTGTTTATTTCTGCAGACATATATACACACATATAGAAATACATACACACAGACAGATTCTTCTGTATAAATCTTAATTCTGATGTCATTTGAAGTTCATAGTAATATCTCCCCAGCATTTTTTCCAACTAATCAAACAGTTTTGAGAAGATTCTTCTGCCCCCCCCACCCCCAATGACTTTTTAAATGGCTGTAGCAGAACCTCACCAGGCTTGGCCCCTGTCTGATAGGGGAAGAGGTACATTGCTGCAGTCTACCATTGCCGTAATAATAAATCCCAGCTTTAGAGGCTTTTGAGGAAGATCAAGGGAACTAGTAAATTGTGTTCCATCCAGAAAAAGATATAACCTGGATTTATGCTATAGGGCATTAGCACTAATCTCACATGCAAGCAAAATAATGCTCAAAATTCTGCAGCATAGACTCCAACCATATATGGAGAGAGAAATTCCAGAGGCCCAAGCAGGTTTCAGGAAAGGAAGGGGCACTAGGGACCACAGTGCAAACATATGATGGCTAATGGAGCACACCAAAGAATTTAAAAAAAGAATCAGCCTGTGCTGTAGACTACAGCAAAGCATTTGTATAGATCATGAAAAATTATGAAATGCACTCAAAGATATGGGGGTGCCACTACATCTGATAGTCCTGATAAGGACTGTGTACCAAGGACCAGAGGCCATAATCAGAACAGAATTCAGAGAAACAGAGTGGTTCCCAATAGGCAAAGGAATCAGGCA